TAAAATGTATAAAAGCTTCCTGCTCTGATCACTTTTTTGGGACTTCTCTTATGAAGGCTACCATGTACATGTAAAAGTTCAACAAAATGTGTGTTTTTCTCCTGTTAATCTGTCATATCAGTTTAATTCTGAGGCCCAGCCAGTGACCCAAAGAGGGTAGAAGAGAAGTTTCCCTCACTTACAGTCAAGAGACCTTCTGAGTTAGGTTAGGCACATTGGGTGAATTCATCCAGAAACTGTCAAATGTATTTATCAGAGAACACTAACCAGAGAAGCAGCACAGGCTTAGAGAAAACAGTCAAAACTACACTATGAGCTGGGCAACCCTGAGTAAGTTACCTAACATCTCTGAACCTGTTTCCTCATCAGTAAAATAAGAATAATAAGCCATTTCACAGGACAGTCAGGAAGACTAAATAAGACAGTAGTAACTGGTAGCTTTAAAAATGCTCTAAGCATTAAGGCCTCTGAGTCCTAGATTTGTTTCTGTTACTAACTTACTATAATATATATGGCAAGTCATTTGATCTAAGGTTGTTTCCTCATCTGTCAAATAATGAAGATAATGCATGCCCTACACTTTTCATGGGGTGTATGACAATCACATATGAAAATTAATGTCAAAAGTATTTTTGAAATATATAAACCATGTAACTATAAAATAATTCATTATGTACAAAAATGCAGGAGATTCAGACTAACAAACCTGTTATAACCCAGGATTATATAATGTCCAAATTAAATTAATTTTACTAAGAAAAAAATGTCACAGTCAAAAACAAACCAAGAACCAGACACATTGGTAACCAAAAGTATTCAAGGCTATTACCTACAAAAATTATTTTCCATGCAATAGAGGAACGAAATTAACTCAGCTCTCCAACAAACTAAAAACAATTCAAAACAATCTTTTATTTGAGTCAGTGTTTGCTACTTAAAACCAGCACCCCAATTTAAAAGGGGGAAGAGAGGGGGAGGGAGAGGAGGGGAGGGAGTTATATATTGTAGGGTTTCTCAACAACAGCAGTATAACTGCTTTGAATTAGATAATTAGATAATTTTGAATTAGATAATTTTTTACTGTTGGGGTTGTCCTGTGCATTGTAGGATATTTAGAAGCATCGCTCGCCCCCCAGGAGCAGTGCCCCCCCCCCACACACAGTTGTGACAATCAAATTATGGCCAATCATTGCCAATTGTCCCCAGGGTGAATTGGAGGAGGGGACAAATCATCCCGAGTTGAGATCCACTGAGCTCTCCCCCAGCACTATATTCCAATATTTATCTCACATTTATCTCTCTATAACTTGGTGACTTAGAATGCAGCTTGACACTAGCAGTTTTGCAATATAAAAACCAATAAAAGAATGCTGCCTGTAGGATAGCAACAGCTTAAGAATTAAAGATATAGTAGGGAGTTATGGCTAAATTATCCCTTCCATCAATATGGTTTTTGCTTAATCCTCTCTTAAGAATTTCTTCTTGGGTATTCTTTTGGGGAAACAACTTTGTTAACATGTGACTAGAGCTTAGTCTCCACCTATGTGGTCAAAAGAAAATCAATTCTCAAAAATTTAAGTGCTATTTATGGAATATGGAATGAATCAAAATTAAGTGCTATTTATCTATTTAAATTAGTTAAATACATTTTAAAATGTTAAGGAAAAATACACAAACTAGTATTCATCTATTACTGCCAATATATTTATTTATTTATATATGTGTGTGTGTATAGTTGGAGGTAACACACAAAAATAAAAGAAACCACAAGAAGTGGAATTTTAAAAATTATATTTAGTGCCACTACATACCATCAGTGGGCCAGACACATGGTTTTCTACAAGAAACAATGTCCATATATTACGTTTGTACTGTTAACATAAGGTAGTAGTTTTTAAATTTATGTAATATAAGTTTTAAAAGGAATTTGGAATTTACAAGTTATCTTTCATATTTCATGTGATTCTATATTTCATATGGGTCAGTGTTAGAAAGAATGGCTTCTGTCATCTTCAACTAGGAGGACTTCCCATCACTCTGGCTCTACCAGGAGCTGACAAAAGGAAGTAACCACCAATCCATCCTCGCTGAGCCTGAACTTAGAAAGTGACCAAGCCTGAGCAATCAATGGGCCATGTAAGATGGAATTCTACTTTATACCATATCTAATGTTCTTAAGGAAGCTAACTGCAATTGTGGCATAAAGAAAGACTAATCATTTCAACTCCATTCACTTTAAGGAAGGTACAGTAGTAGATTTAAAATGTTGTGAACTGCAAAATGACATGGTGTATCATTTCTACATGAATTTGTGGAAGGTTCCTGTTTAGAGTTATTGGTGGATTTGGTTATCAGATCAACTGTCACAATGAAAGCTAAGAAAGCTAAACGAAAACCAATTTTGTATACAGTAAGAAAAAAAACTCTAAATTTAACCATAAAGTCCATTATAGTGTAATTTTATCTCATCTTTTAATGGCTCAAATTTGAAATACTCATGTTAGGAAGCAATGAAATTGTGGTAAATAAATCAAAGTACAGTATGCCCTGAAAGAGATACACAGAAATAAGATACTTAGTTTTGTGTGTATTGTTCTAGTTCCTACAATCTACAATGTTCCACATGTAAAGATGTAATCTATAATTCCACCTGACATACAGCACCAGATCCCCTTTCTATGACCCAAAATATATCTCAGTGTTAAAGAGATGATCAGCAGAGAAACTCAAACTTACTTCATTACGTGGAACAAAGACTGGTGGAAACCTGCCTAAATACTTCCCACAGTCCCTCCATCACCCTCTATTCTACAAGCTACAGCTCTTCAAGCCAACTCCCTTATTTCAATAGTGAGCCCTGTCAACAACTGAGGTAATGGAACTGGAAAAACTCATCGCTCCACAATGATATTCAGATACCTGAATATATTTCATTTGGTGAAAATTATATCACTGCCAAATAAAACTAATGTAAATATAGTAAAAACATGCATGATTTTGAGGAATTCTTTTGTTGAAAAGGACTGGGTAAGCCTCAAATTCATCCTGCAATTGCTTAGGCATTCTTGTGCCTCTTTGACCCCTTCATGCCCTGTTCCTTAAGTATACTGGGTGGAGGGGGCTGTAGAAGGCCAGCATGAACTAATCAGCATGCATTTATGCAGTTAGTCAGCTCTAGTTTTATTCCCTCAGGCCTTTCCTCATACTCAGCTCCTCCAGGAAAAGTGCTGTTTTATTCATCTCTGAACTCCCAAAACCTAACCAAATGCCCTGCATATACAGTCATTACTAACATCTATTACCTGGCAGGCATTGGATTAGAGACTAGTGGTAGAGAAGTAACAGAGGAACAGACCTCACCCTTGTGGAATCTCGTGGAAGGGGGACATTGAATATTGGCTGCATGAACAGAATCAAGTAATGAAAGACCAGTTAGCACAACCCCGCTGCCAACCAAAGCTTAGATGAGGAACAGTCTTTCCCTTCAGAAATATAAATGTGTCTCTCCAGTCCTGACCATTCCCAAGTTCTATATTCATATATCCAACTGCCTACTCAACATGTCAACATGGAAGTAGTTGCAGGGATTAACTGCATGGACATGAAGCCAGACCGTTTGGGTTTGAATCCCAGCTCCATCACTCACAAGCTAGGTGACTTTAGGCAAATCATTTGTAACTTCTCTGTGCCTGTTTTCTCATTTGTAAATGGAGGGCATAATGATTCATTCATACTACATACAACTGTTATAAGGATTTATATGTAAGAGTGCTTAAAACCCTTCCTACTACACTGATATAAGTGTATGCTTACATCATGCTTACTGCTATTAGTAGTAGCACCACTACTAGTATGATGAAGTCTGTCAGGAATCTGAAATTTGTCCAAAAACCGAATTCATGGTTTTCTTCTCAAATCCCTTTCGCCCTTCTCGGTAAATAGCACCACTACCTGCCAGTTATTCCAGCCTAAAACCTAAGAATTTTAAGTTTCAGATAAACCCACATTGGTAAGTCCACACCAGCAGCTCTACCTTCAAAAGTATATCATGAATTTGACTACTTCCTACCATCTCTACAACCACCTCCCCCAGCCCAAGATACCACCTAGTACAGCAATGACTTTCTATCTTCCCATCTTCAACGCTCCCTGCTCCACGATTTTCGGTTAATTCTCCATCCAGTAACAATGAAATCAGATGTCATTCCCCTGATACGAACCTTCCAATGGTTTCCACCACACTTAGGAGAGATGATGCCTGGCCCCCCAGCATCATTTGCCACTACTTTCCTCCTTCCTTGCTGTGTCCTCCACACTGTTACCTTGCTGTCCCTTCGCACCTCAGGCTTGTTTCCACCTCAGAGCATTGTTCCATCATTGTTCCAGCTGTGAGGCAGTACCGCATGGCCATTTGGAGCATGGACTCTGAGGTCAGATTACCCAAATCCATACAGTCTCTATGACATTTTAGTTGTGCAACCTTGAGCAAATTTTTAATCTTCCTGTGTCCTTTCCTCGTCTATAAAAATAGGAATATGAGTACTTACTTCATAAGGTGGTTGTAAAAATTTAGTGTTTAGAAGAGTGCCTCACATACAAGCTTTGCCTAAGTATTTACTGCTATTATTATTCCTCACTGAAATGTTTCACCTCCAGCTCATCCTCCACTTTAATTGACTCACCTTGTCCCCTCTTTGGAAAAACCTTTCCTGATAGGCCGTCTAAAAATAACCTGCCCAGTTCCCCCACACTGTCTGTTTTTTTTTTTATCTTCCTTTGCATCACTGGATGTATCACTCTAACGTGATACCACATACTTATATTCTGTTGCTTGTTTCCCCACTGGAACACCAGCTCCACTAGGTTGGAGATTTGATCTTGTTTGCTGCTCTAGTTCTAGTTCTGACTCAGAACCTGAGTTGGAATGCACACATATCTTATTTCTCTGATCCAGGGCTAGGAGACCAATGCAAATTTCTTAATTGCAATATCATACTTACCCTTTCATTCTCACACTCATGATCTCATCTGATCCCTGAAAAAGCAACAGCAGATATACCATCATCTCCATTTTAGAGAGAAAAAAAATTTCAAATTTGGGTTGACTTGTCTTTGGACACAAAGGTAGCAAATGATAGAACAAATATTAGGACCGCTGCTTTCAAAGGTTCCTCTAACTCAAATGGAAGGATATTACACCCTTGAACTAAATTTATAGAAATGTTATCTATTTCCTGAGATGTGTACAACATTCTTCCCTTTTAAGTTCCCGACAAATACTTGCCCTTGAATTTGAAAAGTATTATAGTAAAGTACAAACTCATCAATAATGTATTAATCCATGGCAAGCCAAATAATTCAAGCAGTCATATATGACGATCGTATATTCCAAGTTTACACAGCAAAATTCCTAAAACTCAGTGTATCTGTATTGAGTATAATGTACTAGTTTCAACATTCTAAAAGCTTTCTCTGCAAAACCCACACAAACGGGACCTGGAAATTGCCAAGATCCTTATGATAATGGTGCAGGTTATTTCTTGATCCCTGTTCCACCAAGTTCAGTGACAATAGTTCAGACCGCTAATCAAGCTCAATTGTTGTCTGTGATCAGATTAGGGTGAAGGGCAAGGTGAAGAGGCAAAATTGGGAAAAAGGTCACTATCTACAAGCCCTCTGTCAAACCATTGGCCATCACATTCTCAGAATAACCAATTGTCTTTATAAGCTTTCTTCCAGTGAGTTCATATGTTTGTATTACTTCACTTGCTCTCACAATCCCCATTCCTGTAAGAATGACAATTAGGAAACTTTTAGGAAAGGAAACTTTTAGGAAAGGACAATTAGGAAAAGTGACTACTTTTCCATTTTACACAAAAAGGAAACTAAGGCAGCAAGTGGTTATCTTTATAACTTGTCTTCAGCGATTTGGTAACTTGTGGGATGTCAAGAGAAGCCTGGATATAGAATATCTAAAGGAAACTTCTAGCCCAGACTTCACACGTCAAACTTCTGGGCTGAAGGGAATCCAAGTCCCCCTTCATCCATAAGGAAGAAAGGAGACTTTCATTTAGAACTTCCCCCTTCCTTGACCTGGCTGTCAGGCTCCTAGAGCCCTACAGGCCCTGGAGGAAAAAGTGGGGGGCCCCGCCCAGCGGGGTGCGGCCTCCCCTCCCCGCACTCCTGGCCCTCCTGGCCTTCCTGGCCCTCCCACCCCAAAGGGCGCATTCCCGCTCCGGGCGGGCACCTGTCCCTTAACCAGGTTCGCGGCTCCCCCGGTAGCACCAGGATCTAACAACCCACAGCCTCTACCAACACCGGGAAGACGAGCAGCAGGACGAGCCCCCGCAGGCCCAGGTAGCTGCAGGAATCTTCCGAAACTTACAGTTTTCCTACAGCATGCGCGTCACGGCGAGGTGACGTCACGGGACCCGGCGTTCGGGAAGGTCAACCCTTGGGTCGGGGACCGCTTCGTCCCCACGGCTCCGCCCCCCGCACGCCGGCGGAAGACACACCCCTTTTCTCAGGGCCCGCCCCAATCGTGGGGCGCAGGCGCACACCACCTGCGTGGCCGCCTGCTGGTGGGGTTCGCGTGTCCTGCTGTCTAGGTTAGGGGCTGCTCGAGAGAGCTCTTGACCTGGTTACGGGTCTGTCAGTAGAAGGGGTGAAGACCCCGGGGAACACCGCAAGCAAGCTGTTGGTCAGGGGATTTGGGTAGGACGCCAGAGTTGTGAGGCGTATTTTCCACAGGCACTGTTGTCCTTTTCTCACGTGTTGTTAAAAGTTCTCCACGTGTGGAAATAGGCATTAGCTCTGCATCAGGTGCCTGCGGGTCCCCGCGGGGAGGTGTCAGGGCTCCCACCGGCCCTCGCCCCCGCCCCTGACCCCGCCCCGAGCTTCCCTCCAACAAGGCCCGCCCCGACTCGGCCCTGCCCCCTGGAGTCCACCCTTCCGGCCCCAGCTAGCTGATCCGTCGAGCGCCCGCCTACCCCGCCCTGTCCCGTCGTCACTTCTAGTCTTTTCTTTTGAGATTTTAGTCTTTTCACCTTATACTAGACTTCCCGTTTTGTCTCAGCCTCTATTAAATTTAAAAATGGTGACCTGCGTAAACAAATATATACACTTCTTCGCTGATGTCAAGTTTCCACCACCTCTCGTTCATGTGACATCTTTCTGTCCCCAACCCTGGGTTTCTGCTCTTTCATAATTTTACAGACGATAAGTTCTAGTTAAAAGCTCAGCAGAAGGGAAAAAGGTAGGTTCCAAGAACTGACAATATATTCACGGATTATTTATGGCGTGTAGAATTCTTAGAGTACTATTACAAGTAGAAAACAATGTTATGGTAAAAAGTTGCTGGGACAAATTTGCCTTGAGGGAAAATAAATTAAATGGGAAAAAAAGGCCTTGGAAATAGACCCTATTGAAGGTAGCAAGGACACTTTTAAACACTTACTTGGAATCATGACAAATGATTAGACCTGGGATTTTGCCAGGCAGATCCAGGGTGTAAATAAAACCCGAAACAATGGTTGCTTTGCACTCTCATTTAAAATATTACAGTTAATTTCATAGGAAAGAATGATGACGAGAATGTTAGCCTTTAATTCAACATCTGAGCTGGTCAAAAATAAACATGTATTATTCAGAAAAAAATCTAAGTTTTTAAAAGTTTCCGTGTTAAAAAAGTATTTGTACATTTTATCTTAATATAATTTCATGATGCTTTTAATGATCATTATCAACCAATATGAGTAATGTGTGAAGTTTATACATACTAATTTTAACCATAATAAGGTTTTCTGTGGAGCAATGATACAAAAATTAACAATTTTTTTAAGTTCTACATAATTTTAAAATGACATTTTTCCTTGCAAAACAGGGATTTTAAGAAACCTCTAAATTGTTACTAACATTATTTACAGGTTTATAACCTGTTTTATGTATGTCATCCCAGAAATTAGAATTCTTTTTCAATGAGTTTTTAGGTATACCTGTCAACCAAAAGTTGCTGCCACCAATCCAATGCCAAGAGGAGTCCCAATCTGGAGGGCAGAGAAAGGAGAAACTTTATTCAGGTAAACAAACAGTTCGCAAACCCAGGAAACACAGCCTCCAGGGAAACCAAAAGTGTTCCCAGTCTTCGTCCCTGATTGGCTCATTTTTATGCAAATGAGGAATCCAAATGTGCACAGTCTGGTTGGTTTAAGCAACACATCCTGATTGGTAGTTGTAGAGCTTCTCTGATTGGTCAGTAAAGATACAAAGCAGAAGGTAGCTGTGCAGCTCTGATTGGATGAGACAGGTCTCTGCCCACTGGTGGAAATACAATTCTAGGAACTCCTTTATAAGGTTCAGCTCAGCCAGCAGGAGCTCAGTGTATCAAGCTTAACAGCTTAGTCTGTGGCTTTTCTGATATGCAGTGTGCATTAGAGGCATCTGCAAACAATGACCGTTAGACTTTGATAGTGAGTTTGGGTCCTGTTAACTACAAGGAGTCCTTTTTTGGCAGGTATATTCCTTCTTGGGGTCAATATAACTCTGGGACTGTCCGGTCCCATAGGTAAATGTTATTTGTCATTTTTTTTGGAGGGAGGGATTGAAAATATTTAAGAAGTACACATTAAATGCATTAAGTGTTTTTAATATAGAATACTTTTACCTTTATAGGGTGGTATGACAGAATATCTCCTTTTCTTCTCATCTTATTATTCACTATTTTTTTCTCCCAACATTTCTCCCAACAACAACAACAAAAAACTCCTATAGGGCTAGATGCAGGAAAGAAGTAATGTGACCAACAAAGGATTGGCAAGCAGAAAGGGTACCCCCAAAAGAGAAGAACCTCAGGATATGTCAAGTAGAAATGTGTAGGTAAATACACAATCAAATTTAGTCTATTTCTATACTAAACTAGGATTTGATCTAAATAAGTAACTAGAAGCTAGGATTAAAGTGTGTTGATATTAGACAGGAACTGTGAGGGTAACTTATCTCTTAAAATAAAATCCTAGACGTTCAGGTTAGCAATGGAAGAATTAAGGACCTCTGTTCTAACCCTTACAGTTTCTATTTCCTCTAGTGGTTCTTTCATTTTGTTATCTGCTGCCCCTAGTAAGCTGGCTTCCATAGCCTTCTACTCCTTAACTCTTCCCTTGGTCCTGCTTAGTGAACTGAGAAGAGCTGAAACTTAAGACTAGGGGAAAGTAAAAGAGAACAAAATATAATGGATGATATTTATTGAGTGTTTATATGTGCCAAGCACTGCAGTATCTCATTTAATCCTTGGAACTATATGAGGTAAGTGTTGTTATCTCCATTTTACACAGAGCAAGCAGGGTGCAGGAGACCGACTCAAGCATCCCATGTCACACAGCCTGAATGGCAGTCAAGGTTTGAACCCATACTCCAGAACCTACAGCTATAACCACTGACCTGTATCAAGTTTCAAATAACAAAGTACAAACAATGCAAGAAACAGAGGCTTGGAAAGTCCTAGATATGGAAATCCTAGTTCCAAAAGAATGACCACAATATAAGGGCATCTTCACTATTTTCTAGTCTGCCTCCATATATGCCTCTTCTATTGTGCTTTTTAAGGTGCTCACCATGACCCACTAAGTTGATTTTGTGGCCCATTAGTAGATTGTCACCCTGAAAAACACTAATCAGAGTCCAAAATATAAAAGATCGTATTGAGTCACGTGTAATAAGGGTATTTCCAAAATACAAATTTTGGAAAACTGGTGTTGTAATAATGTGTGTGTATTCTGGTTTGCGATATTAATGTATCTCTTATGCTGGATCCCAATTAAAATTTTTTAAGTACTGTTATAACCACCCCTTGCTTGACTTCTATGCATATTTCATCTTCAAGAATCAAGATCAAGAGAAGCCAAATGCCATTTAGCAACCCCCATCACCACCACCACATCCCTCTCAGCTGCAGGATCTGATCTGAGAGATCTCTTTCCAAACATCAACACAATAATCAGGCCACTGCTACATCTAGAAAGGCTGTTGTCTCCAGCATAAACCCAAAAGTGTACTAATACCCTGACAATATAATAAACAACTGTAAAACAAGAGTCATACAAAATAGAAACGAGGTTGTTCTGGGAAAGGAGCAGAGATAGGGAGCTTGGAAAGAAGACCTGGGACAGAGATTGGAGAGCTATAGAGGGATGTATGTTTAATAACCACACAATCTTACATATGCTGTTGTTACATGATTTGCCAAATATCTCAAGTCTCATTTTATCACTTCTCTGCCCCCATTCTATTACATAGTTTATTCTCCCTATTCTTTTGGTGTCTACTTCACAGGAATTTCCTCAGAGAAACTTTCACTGTGGGGCCTTTGCTCTTCGCCTCAGGAATACTTTTCTTCCTCTGCTAGACTGTAAGCTCTGTGAGAGTAGGGACAATGCTGTCTTGTTCAACCTCTACTTGTGGCTGAGTACCCTACCCTAAGCAGATACTCTAACTATGTGTAGAGGAATAAATACATGAATGAATTCAAATTCAAAGACTGGTGAGGTTTCATATACTCAAAATACTAGTTACTTTCTGAAAGGGGGGGGTTCTGTGTTCATCGAAATAATACTGAGGAAATCCTTTGCATCAAAACATAGTAAAATACCAGTGTTTTAGCCTGTTATTATCTGGCTACTTTTGTGCAAGTCCAATAACCTCTCCAAAACTCAGAGGGGGTTAGGCTCACTAAATGTTATATGCAGTGAATGTCCTAATAGGGTGTTGCCCCTCTGGAGAGCTCTGGGAAATCAGGTCAGGCCACCTGGAGCCTTATTTGCATGGAGTCCTGAAAGAACCTAACAGGCCCTGGGGGCGGAGCAATCAATCCTCTTGAACAAAAGATGTCAGACAAAGGCTTTCCCCAACAGCAAGAGGGTGAGGTAGGGGAGTGAAGAGGGAAATAGAAGACAAGTAATGAGTGTCATTGCTCTGAGGAGCCAAGTTCATGATTGAGTACAGGGCCAGGTGCGCGCTTTTGAGTTTAAAACTGAAAATATCAAGCTGCCTTTGTGGGTGTGTTGGACTGGAGGATGGGGGAGGAAAGTGCAGGAGAAAGTAGAGGGTGTCAAAAAGATTTACAATTTCCCAAGGAAAAAACCTCACCTACTACACCACCACGGACAGAAAGAATGTTTCAGAAACAGGCCTCTAAAACTTTGTGTCTGTTCTTTCATCTTGGAATCTGTTTTCTCTCTTATCTCTAGGGGGGAAAAAAAAAACCCCTGCTCTTTCTTCAAGTTCAAGTTCTATCATTAATTACCTTTGATAACAATAAGCAGCCTTTATTGAGCACTTACTTAAATCAAAAGCACTGCTGAGCATGTGAAATCTTTTTTAAATTTATTTACTGATTTGAGAAAGAGAAATTAATTTGTTGTTCCACTTATTTATGCATTCATTGGTTGATTCTTATATGTGCCCTGACCGAGGATCAAATCTGCAACTTTGGGGTAATGAAACAATGCTCTAACCAACTAAG